TTAAGCTTCGAGGTACTTTTCATTTTACTTATCATTAAAGATCGGTTAACGGAAGCCACGAGTCACGTAGATTGTTAACGTGACTCCGCTTCGTCGACTATTTTCTATATCTTCGATAATATTCCTGATAAACGGTGCAATGTTTCCTTAGTAGTGTTTGTACAAACGCAGTACTAAGTACACAAGCACTTGACTAAAACAAACTAATGATTATTAATTAGATTAGGAGTTTCCTTATCATAGATTCTTAAATATGGAAATCACCCCTTTGTCCAAATTTACAAAGAAAATCACTGCCTTACAACTCGATCATCGTAATCTCTGCAGCGAATCACGAATCAGAGGAGAAGCAATCTTTCCACGTAACAAAACTCCAAACAGAACCCCATTCAGCGCAAAAACGGTACAGAGATTAATAATGATGATATTATATTTCACCAGGTAGAAAAATTCTCTTTCCTTGTACAGTATAATACCATCAGCATTACCACACAATCCTCCATAATGTTATTTCTACTTTAGAGTCGCGTCGAATGAAAAATTCGAGAGTTCTAACGATCGATCGGGCTCGATCAAAGACCTTTGGCAGGTGGAACGGAAGTGGGCCAATATTAGCCTACATCTCGGTGTAAATCGAGGATGGCGTAATCATGCGTCGATCGACACGAAAGATTTTCCATACTAATCTGGCAAGCATCGAGGTGGGGGAAGTTAAAACGCCATAAATTACCGGGAAACGGGCTCGACGACTGCGAACAGACAAGCGCGATCCTACGAAGGATTAGACTGGCGGTTGATAAGGCGTTTACGTCCTTCGTCTTACAACGTGGAAACGAGCTTTACGTCCTAACGTAAGCCTCTTGACTTTTCACGACGTTCACTAGATGCAACCGAATGGAAAACTCTTTCTTCAGGATTAGCATTACGACGTTGCGTAAAGGCGACCACCTGACCCATTAGACTTTCGTTGCACGTTCCACTTTGGCCTGCGGATTAAGACTTTTCAATGAATCATTTAAGAAGTTATCCTTGGAAACGAAGAAATGTTTAAATAATTCCTTTACAAATTCCTAATTCCATCCCCTTCTGCCATCGAAAGAAGAGAAAGTAGCAATCTATAAATCTCTGCAAAGAAAACCATCAACAGATCAGAGGAAGAGAAAATTTGCCTGAATCGAAACGCGTTCCAGCAAATCATCCTCAACCCCTTGGAGAAACCTTTCGAAACCCACCCCGATTCCTCGAGGTGGTAAGAAGTTTTTTCCGCAGACAGCAGGGAAACGGGGTGGAAAGCGTGTACTCGCGATCTCGCGGCAGAAAAACTCTCCGGTAAGAAGAGAATTAACGAAAGAAGCAACCGGAGGATACTTTTTTCTCCAACCCTACCCATCCTCCGCGAATGGCCACGGCACACGATATTCTTTTTCCTTCGAAACGATCTCTGTCTACGGAAGCGTCCAACGATAGAAAAAGACAGGGTCCCGTGTAGAAAGGAGGGGGTGGATTGTGGTTTGGGTTTGAAGGGGGTGAGCCGCAGGAAGCTTGGAACCTGCAGACAGCTCTCGGCGCGGATGGAGAATGGCTGATTCCGTGAGAAGGGAAAACCCGGGAAGAAAGGAGAAAATAGAGCAGAGGGGGAGGGGGGGTGGAGTCGAGAAAAAGGGAATGTAGGATGTTATCGAGTCGACAGAGAGAGAGAGAGAAGGAGAAGAGAGGAAGAGAGATGAGAGTAATGGTCGGACAGAATGACGCTGATCAATTTCTCGCTTTCGTAGGAAACTGGACCCTGAAACCGATTTAAGGCTACTTCTGTTTGGGATTTATTCTGTTACTCGGAGACTAAGGGCTTGTCGTGGTTAAATTTAAAACATATTTATTGAAAATATTATGTAGAACAGCATCGTCGGCGAGGCAGTTAAGAGAATACCGAAATACCAACAACTGTCGAGCACACCTGTACAAAGGAAGCTTCGAAAGTTCGCGAAGGGACACAGTCAGCTTATACTCATGGAAATTCCTTCCTAATCCTGTAGTAAATCTAAAAGCGATATGACGGTCGTGCAATACCATATAATACGATAGAAATTCTTCTATTCAAGGATTTGCGTGCTTACGACCGAGACAGGATCATCGGGCAAACACGGGCGACAACGTGGCATCGATGTAATACGTAGAAATCGACGATTTCCATCTTCGTCTACCGCACTTTCCTCAATAACAAGTACCCTTAAACCTACCCCCGGGACCTTTCTTCGTTCCGCATCGGCGCACGTGTCGTTGACTTTACTGTTTGTCACGTAGTCACCGCGCGTTTCTAACTATGAAACGCTATCGTTTTATGGCGCTTAGTGAGTATTCTTTAACCCTCGTAAGACCGTACTCTAATACCTATGTTGAAGATTATGCGAGGGACAAAATTCAAATTTCAAGCTTGCAATTTGTTACTTTACGTATCGGTAAAGTTTGCTTAACGGTACATTTTTACAATACCATAATATTTTTTGCTTTTGGGAATTTCAATTTATAACTTGGGTGGTCCGCGATAGGGGTAATAAATGTTAGGATGATTTTGACTCTACGTACATATTCTTGCAAGCTATCCTTCGTAAAATCCCGTTGATTTTGCATGAATTATTAGCATTATAGAAAATGTAAGACATACCGAAATAGTCACGATACAGAATTGTATACATAAGAAGGAAAAAATTTTCAACAAGACCCGCGTTGTCTAAGCATTCCCGGAATTCCACATTCCAAGAATCGAAGTATAAGCAACGTTCGATCAGTGAAACGTCGATCGATTCGACGATTCGAATTCGAGGTGGGGCTCAGGCCCGGGAAAACTTCAACTGACCACGGTATTGGTCGTAGATCGCAGGTGGGTCGGTGCTTGTCTAGCCTACGTGTAGGACGAACGTAATACCATAGAACAAAAGGGTTTTTGTTAGTCCCGGAAGCGATCGAGCCCTGATTGGTCGGCCATTGGTTCGGCGAGTACTACAAATTGGCAAGGAATCGTCGAGCGACATGTCAGTCGTCTAAGAACTATCGAAGACGCAGCTATTTTTGGTAAATCTTACCGAAACTATCGAAACAAATAGTCGCCTGTTGTACGAAAGTGGAGAAGTCATGACGCCGGTTGACTTTACGCAAGCTCTTGAATCTGAAATAAGTTCAAGAAAAACCGAGGAGACGAGCTACCCTCTAACTCCAGTCAGTGCGGATTCACCAACATCATCGTCCAGTTGGAATGGTTATGGGTACCAGAACAACGGGATGCAGAACGTGAGGCAGAGTTATCCATGGGGCAGTGATGGGCAAGTGAACTGGATCAATGGGCAACAGCAACTGGATGAAAGGAAACAACCTGCGAAAGAGGAGGGAAGATCGGCTGCTTCTGAGAGCAATCAGGGAGGCTGTCAAGGTACTTGTCTTTTCTTTTATTTTTTCAATTTTTGGGGGGTTATTCAGGGGAAAGGAAAAGGCGACATCAATCGGCAGGGTTTAAGATATCATTGCTGAAGCAAGCTACGAGCCCACTTTCAGCATGCATCAGCTGCTCTCTATATAAATAAATAAATAAATAAATAAATTATTAACTTTTCAAAAGTTGTGAGAGTAAGATATGGGAATTGTTATTTTAAATAGGGAAATATGAAAAGTTAGTGATTAATTATTAATTGTACTACTTTCTATTTGTTACACTGTAATATACATTATGTAAATATTAGTGATCAGTTACAAGATATTCTACTTCCTTTATTTTTGGGACAGTTTTGTTTAATTTTTAAATAGCTGCAAAAAGCTTGATAGAGAACCCTTTTTTCACCCCATGGTTAAAGTTACACGGTAATATTAAACAGGATCATCTCACCACCATCACAGATTCTAGTCAAATAGACGGTCCCGTAGACATCATTGAATCAAGTTTGATTAACGAGCTGCCCATTTAGGAGACTTTAGTCTCGAGGGATTATAAAACGGTGCTCGTCCCGCTTGCTTGTCGATGCTCTACACGAGTTTACATAAAACAGAGTCACTGGATGATGGACTGCCATCCTCCGGTCAGTGGTGACACGTTTATTGCTCGCGAAATATGTTTGAATCGTTTCTAAATTGCCGTTTGACATTCCAACTTTGCATCTATTCCTGTAGAATATTTGAAAAATTAATTTTCTTTTTCCTTTTCAACAATGTCCATCAATTTAAAATTCATTCTTGGAAGTAGAAATCTTCGGATCTTTGTTCTCTTTGTTAAAGAATTTCCATGAAATTAGCTTATCAATTATCAAAACGGGGTCTGACGATGCAGCACCTAGTTTCCACGATAACACGCATCGAAAGGAACGTTTCTTTTGCCCCCGGGGCAACGATACATCTTGAAATACCGGAGGAGTCACACGGTTCAACCGTGTGTCACAATACATTGTCAGCTTATCAAATAGGACAAGCGAACATGCGTTTAATCACGTAGCCAGATTCCAAAGTAACTTAGAAAAATATTAGCATATTTCTGAAAATTAACATTTCGTGTTTTCGCGTCGCGAGTTGCTTTCTCCCAGCTTCTTACGATTCTCTTTATTCGAACTCCGAGTCTGACGAATTGTATTTGGTTGTAAATTCATGGCGTGACCATTTAATCCAATAACACGGCTTCAGTGTTCGGTGTTTGAGCCGCACAGCAGGAACACCAGCCACCTCGTGGGCCGACAAGTTTCCTACTGGGCGACCCTTGACACCTTTTCGTGACGCGACCACTCCAAGATTACCATTTTCAGGTGAAAATCACAATTTCACGGAGTGAAATATCATTTCGAAAATAATTCTCAACATAAACCACCCTGTTCCAAAAGACAAAATTGTCGAAAATTTAATAGCACAAATGCCCCATACAAAATTGAAACATTTTTGGATAAGTCTGGAAACGACATCCTGAGTTAAAAAGTCAAGAAAAGGAAGAGAGGGAATACAATTTTTATCAAAACAATCGAAGACCACAATTCACTAAAAAAATATAAATTTTTATTTTCCAGGGACGAGGAAGCAACCAAATGGAAAGCGCTCCAGAACAGCTTACTCGAGCGCCCAATTGGTTGAGCTGGAGAAGGAATTCCAGTGTGGACGCTACCTCTGTCGCCCGCGCCGGATAGAAATGGCAGCCAATCTCTGTCTGACCGAGCGCCAGATCAAAATTTGGTTCCAGAACCGGCGCATGAAGTACAAGAAGGAGCAGATGTTGAAAGGTACTTCAGCAAAGTCAGGGACCAGCCAAAACGAAGATCCAGTTCACAACAACGAGCTGGGAAACGTGTCCCCGTCCGATGCGTCCTTAAACTGGACCATCCAGGGGGGCACGTATCAACAGAACACCCTCCCGGCACCGATTGACGTACGCATTCCGTACGTCAATCCAACCAATCGGCCGAATACCATGGATACTCTGCCTCACGATCCCCGGGAAATGTTCAACTGTGCCCAGTACCCCGGACCATCCTACTTGAACAACATGGACACCATCAATCAGGTACAGCAAAGTTAGCCTCAAGAAAGATTTCTCTTTATAGATCAAAAACGATTTGATTCTAATGATGAATAACTGTTACAGACTCTCCACCAACAACCACCGCCTCAACAATCCTGCAATTACTTCGGACAGGAACAATGGAATGAGCAAAATCAGTGTTCCTATCCGTTGGAGAGCTACGGATACCCCCCGTGCGAACGAACGTGGCCTTCCTGTGCATTCGCTGGCAGTGGTCAGCAAGTGGGATGTAAATTGGAGGGTGGGCATCCAGATGGTTCGAGTGATCTGTCATTGGTCACCGATCAATTGAACTTCTGGATGAATGATAATCCTTGCGAGTTGCAACCCTTAGATTTGAACAGGAGCTTTGAAGAGATCGTTCGAAGCAACGTTCCTTCAGAGTATCAGGAAATAACTTCTGATCTCTTGAATCTCTAAGGGTTGCATCTGGCAATCAAGGAGACAAAGCGGGAGGGATGGAAGGATGCACAAGTCATTCGCTGCACGAACTGTATCCATATTCATTCAACTGATAGGAACATTGGAAACAATAGTTTGTTAAGGATCTTTTTAGTGGATATATCTAGTTTAGTCGTACTCGTTAGGGGATAACTGTAGCGTAAGAAAGACCAATTAGCGTTCACGTCATAATACGACGAAGTAACGGAACAGTGATTTACTGTTAACTGACCACGATTTTGCGATTTTATCCTTGACGGGTATCAGTGTTCACTTTAAGTGAATAGTAAATTATCTAACACTAATTAGAACCGGAAAATGCAGGGTATTGATGGAGACAATGATTGTTGTAAATGTACGTGGTTGTAAACCAAGATAAGTGCGTAGTGTAAATATTTGTAAATAGTAATATATGTAAATATTTTATAATAGATCTTAGGGTATCTTGTGCAAATATTAGTATAAGTACATAAAGATATATTTTTGGAATAAAAAAATGATTTTTCCATAAAAATATTTGTTTGTTGAATCTACTCCTGAGATCCAAAATAACCCAAGATGACAAAAGTCGATAAAGTAAGTCTACTCTATCAATCGATAATTGCAATTCTTATATACAATAAAGGGAGAAGAATTTTAGGCAAAGGAAAGATGAAAAGAGACAGTGATATCGAAGCTTTCTTAACACCCTGTAGAATCGCGTGTGCACCAACACACGGTCGATGCATAGTCGCGCAAGACTTGCCACGTCACCGGCACTCGGATCCGCGTCTATCTGTCAGTTTCCAGTCTCAAACAAGATGGATGGCTGGCGAATGGAAATCATGGTTGAAACCCAACCCCACACCCTTGAATCCTTCCATCCTGAGCGAGAGAGAGACGGCTGATTCCCCTCCATTCTGTTTGCGACCACCCTTATACCGAGAGACCCACCACCACCCCCGCGTTATTCCGCGCTTCGATCTCCGTATCATCCCCTTTCGCGTCTTTTGTGCTTTAAAATACAAATACGCCGGGAAAGGAGGATCGCGCCTCGTCCTCGCGAGCCCCCTTTTTTTATTTTTCTTCAATTTAATATCTGCCAGATCGCGAGTTACTCTGACAGGAATTTTTTCGAGCTCTTCTGAAAGGAAATTGATCCTACGGGGTAGTTTTTGAATTTCCAAGTTTTTAGTACCGGAATTAGTATTCGAGCAGTCGTCATATTTGATATGGTCACGAGAGAGTTATATGAATTTAAAAACTACGTCATTTCACCCTACCGCTTTTTATTCGGAAGTTAATAAAAAGTAACGCGATCCGTTTATACGCTTTATTCCCCGAGCAAACACTCAGCTATTTCAGAGCATTAGTGTCTATTTGCATAACCGAGTTTACAGAGGTAACAGATCACTGCATCAAGCTGTTCACGGAGCTTCAATCTATTTCAAATCCTCGATCTCCAGATATTCAGATATTTTCCACAAACCGGAATAGCGAAATAATAATCTTTTTCACGAAACACCGTAACTTTTCGCGTGGGCGTGCCACTCTCCGGCATGAATAGAAAGCACCTTTAATTAAAAAGGAAAACTTACGATCTTGAGGAAGATTACAGACGTGCACGCTCCCAGGGATTTCAATTTAAAATCTCCAGTCATGTGCACCCCTTGTGCACTTCTTAACTGCATTTACATTTTCTCTCGGTAAATGCATAAGCGACCAAAGTAAACAAAATGGTTTGTTTTTTCAAGTTAAATGGCGGCTAAACTGAAAATGAAATCGAACTGACCGAGTTTGTTGGGTGGCAGGGAGGAAATTTAGCTCGGAATATGAATAAATTTCTGGAAATCCCGAAGACAGTCGAGCGTGGCATGGGGTGGTTCTCGATGGAGGGGTAAACGTTGTCGGGCAAAGAAGAGAAGGGGGCCAAAAAGAGTTTGAAACTGGTCTCGGGCACCCCTATATTATAAATATCAGGCATGAAAGATGGCGCAGACAGCAGCAGGGAGGCAATGGGTCTGGGGGACGGCTGGGTAAAGGAGTGGAACAGAACCGGAATTAGCATAATCAGAATAATTTCCACCAGCTGACAGCGCCCTCATTCTTTTTCCAGCGACGCGATTCTTCCGTTGCTTTATTTTCCGTTGTTTTCCGCTTTCCGCTGCTTCTCCCTTCTCTCTTTCGCTCCTCCTTTCTTCTTATTCCGTTCCTTCTTCTCGTTCCACTGGAATTCTTGCACCGTTTCCGCGGGTCACTGTTCGATGCATTCCACTTCGACCGGAAGAGCTAACGGCCACATTTTCCCTCCGTTTCCCAACAGTCGAGGAGAACTTCCTCCCGCTGATTCTTCTGCCTCGCCACTTCTCCCTGTAACCGTGTCCGGGGATCATCGAACCAATTCCTTAGATGTTGTTAACTTTTCCGGTACTTCGTGGATATTTTAGTGCGAGGTCGTTCATGATTGATCGATTGAAGATATATGTGACAAGTTCACCTTAAATTCCTTGATCTTGCAAATCGATCTTCCCGGTAGAAAGCAACACTCGAGAGAATTGCAGGTCACGTATAGTTCGGATACTTGCCGCGGAATGGTGTCGTTTGTCCCCTTTTCCCTCCGCCACGGTATTCCATCCCCGTGGCCGGCTTCCACCCCCCCAAAAATATATCAAAGTTCATGCGTTTCTACCTAATATCATTCGCGTGCACGACCTCGCCCCTCTTGGTTACTCGTAGGGGCAACAGAGTTGCCGGTTTACGTGCCAGCAACGATCTCACCAACCCCTCCGAGCCACCCCTTTCTCATCTGATCTTTATTCATTCTTTCGCCTCGCCCATTTCAATTTTTCTACAGTTTAGCCCGAAGAAAAAGTCGGCACTCGGGCCGGACGGTGCTGGTACGCGTGCTCGATAAATTTCGCGGCTCCTAATGTTTAGCCTTTATGGCTCGCCAGCCGGCGGTTTAAGAATCCGTTATATTCTACGCGGAGGGACGTAAGGGTTATTGCGGATTGTTCTCTTGTTTCTACGTGCGATTTCCTTCCAGTGTCCTAAAGGAACTTTACTAGTTCTGTGACTAGTTCTTTACTAGTTTTTTAATTCAGATTATTTCACCTGATAATACCCAGTGCATCGATTTCAATAAATATCCTTCGATCCCCCTCGGGAAAGTCTCCGGAAAGGAGAGTGAAATCCCACCACTGGAAAGCTTGTATTATATACCATTTATACAAGTAACAGCCGGCCCTCTCTTAATATTATCCATCCATTATTCATCCAGGATCACCGACGGAATCTTTCGGAATCGTATTCGCAGACCAGCCGCAAGAAACGTCTGATTCAGATTCAAATGCTCGTAGATCCTGCTGTAGATCCGCGGCCATAACGCGGTCCATTGTATTTATTGGCAGAAACTGTTGAAAAGCAGCCCTGTGCACGTTCTGCGAATCCGTGCTTCGAAATGTCGAGTATGGAATACCGTTTGTACCGACTGTTCCATCGGAATAGGGATCGACGATCTTTCTAGGTGAAAGAGATTCTGGATCAAACTCGTATAGACAACTTCCGCTATTGTTCGCTTTCAGTGATAGTTTCTCGATGGTTTTATGTATAGAGAGTTATGGAACATTCTACGTTTCGTATTACCAAAACAAACATTTCTACGTCTATCATCAATAATCTAGCTGGAACACGTTACAAATCTAATGCACGAGCTCTCTTCGCCATAGAAACACACAGGCATTATCAAAGAAGATCCGCTTATCCTAATCCAGTCTGTCTAAGCATCTCCTCGAAGTCACAATCGCGACGCACGTTCCTTATACACAACACCCTTCGCAGGAAAGTGACGCGTATCTCAAATGGAAAGCAGGGTTATTAATCGCGCGTAGTTGTCCCATCTCGAGCGACTAGCGCTAAATTCGAGAAATCAAAGGGCTGGCTATCATTCAAGCCAGGTGAGTACAATGCGAGCTGGCGGCTTCGTACAGTCGGATATGTAGGTTACCAAGTGAGGTAACGGACAATGGCGAGGAAAGGATGATCCGAGATGGTGTTTCGAGCTTCGTAGGTGGGCAAACGTCACCTTTAATTAATCACACGACTGTATTATTTGCCGTTTAAGCTCCCCTTTTCGGTGGCCCTCGTCGCGAGCAACCGCGAGCTCAGACGACGCGCTCGTGAATCGTGAGCGAAAGACGCTTTGCTCGAGACATACACTCTCGTCCATAAGTCATGGGACGTCGTACAATTTTAGAATAAATTTGGATCATCTACATGAAAAATTTAGTTATTTATCTCGAAGATTAATACGATGTACACCCTACTCGTTGAATCTTAACCCTATTAAGAAATTTTTGAATGAACCAGCAACGTTCGATAAACAGCGTTCTATGTTATAAAAATATTTGTGGACATATTTAGATTCTCGAGAGAAATTGAATTTAAAATTGAAACGCAAAGTTGAAGGTAATAAGTGTCCCATGACTTATGAACGGGGGTGTACATAGGTGCGCGTTTACAAAAGAGGAGCAGGAAAGCAAAGCAACGGGCACCTTTACAGACAGCCTTCGTATAAACATGTCAGTCCAGCGAGGCTCGTCCGAGAAAACGGGCCAGCGTTCATCCATCACTCTGTTCCACCGACTCCGTTCGTCTAGCCTTCCCCTCCTCGCGCATCTCATCGCCTTCTCTTCGTCTCTCGATTCGCGGCTATTTTTCTCGAGTGTCCGTAAAAAATTTTTAAAGAGGATTCGTGAGAGGCAGCGTGTAACGGGAAAGCTCATCCTGCGGGCCCCTTTATTTTTGCCACTACTCGAACGGGAGAATTTCAGTCGAGCACGTGTACCGTTAACGGTGCTTGATCCTCGTGACCACTTCCGGCATAGATCGAGCGATCAATTAAACAAGATTTCAGACCTCGATCACGGGTGTAAGGAGAGCTTTACACGTTTAACGAAAGTGGATTGTTCAAACTTGATTAATAAAAACTCTAATTATAC